ACTAGACATGTATCATACATGCATTACGTGACTAGGCATGTTTCCACTAGGCATGTATCATACATGCATTACGTGACTAGACATGCTACCACTAGGTATGTATCATACATGCATTACGTGACTATGCATGCTTCCACTAGGCATGTATCATACGTTCATTACGTGACTAGGCATGCTTCTACTAGGCATGTATCGTACATGAATTACGTGACTAGGCATGCTTCCACTAGGCATGTATCATACGTTCATTACATGACTAGACATGCTTCCACTAGACATGTATCATACATGCATTAGGTGACTAGGCATGCTTCCACTAGGCATGTATCATACATGCATTACGTGACTAGGCATGCTTCCACTAGGCATGTATCATACATGCATTGGAGTGACTGTACATGAGTTCAAATGACATGTATCGTATGTGCATCACGTCATCGTGCATGTGTCAACTTGGCACATATCGTACATTTCGTAAGATACAATGGGCATGCAAGGTAGATACTAACCTTACCTGTGATGTATCACACACATACATGTATTCTCACATGCATACTTACTTGAATTGATAACAAAAAATTTTCCCTGGCCACTAGAGGGTGTAACCACCAGAGAATAACTCAGTGCATTTCCATCCACGTCATAACCACTAACTTCAAATATAGATACCGAATTGACAGCATCTTCAAGTACGCTGGCCGTGGCTGGTAAGCTGGGTATTTGCGGTGCTTCATTCTCGTTAGTGATCTGAACCGTCAGTACTCGAGGTGTACCAGCATTGATATTGTCATGACACGTCACTGTGAGTTTGTACTCAGTCAAGGTTTCAAAGTCTAACGTGTGCGGATCGCTAACGTATATAGTGTTTGAACCTGTTGAAAACAAGAAAGTAGAGGAAATTGATGTATTTAATAACTAAAATGAATTGTGACGAATGTAACTATAATATATGTGTATTTTAGTTTCCAGAAACTGAAACATCGAGAAGTGAAAAAATACATATTTGTGGAAACTGTGAGGACCTGAAACAAAACCTAACCATCTCTTTCTCATAATCTCCCTTTTAATTACAGCTGTTGTGGTTTAAGGATTCTTTCTTTTTGATGAAAGATGTCTTCAGTGCACGTCGCCTGGGTTATGTTATATTTCTTATTCTATTTTTGTCACCGTATATTCTAATTTGGATGTGGACCATGTATTACAAAGTATATCTACATTTGTATGTGATTGTGTTTGGCATTCTCATTCTGTGCAGTGCGTATACGAATATGTGGTGTTTGACTGGGTACCTTCCTCTAGGTGTTCATTACCTCATGGCAGCAGGCTAGAAGTGAATTGATTTCTTGGGTCTAATATCATAGTGCTAATTTAAATTCATCTAGTTGCCTCACAAGTCACGAGCTCTGTGTAATATGTAATACCTTTGTACGAGTAGTAAGTACATTAATGTATGTGTATTTTGACAACACACTGTATACAGTAAACGACATCTTTTGTATATTATTGCAAAAAATAATCAAACGTTTAAATGGTTGGCGTAACCAAGCAACTCAATATACCCAATATATGTTTTGCGTGTTCACCTAGTACATGGAAGGTTCAACTTTCCCGAGACACAATAAAACACTACGATAAATACTTTTGTTTTCGACTTTATGAAATTATTTAGTTTTTTCGTGGGGGGGGGGGGGACAAAAACAACTGAAAAACCAGAAACATATTATACCTAAATGTTTACACTAATGATCATTTTCATAATTATCGATTACACAAACAATTAACAGAGAAAAGATAATTCATTCGCTATATTGAATCTCGATATCTTGAATTATGACTGACAGCAGCTGAATGAAATTACAAAACATATAGTGTTTTGAACAACTCATGTATGAACAATAACTTTAATAAATATGATTTCAATTAGTAAATCTACTGTATATACTTCAAAAGAACCGAAATAACGTCCACACACCCGTGTCCAGTGGTCCAACTGATTATGTAAATGGCATGAATTGTTACCAATACATCATCTAAACTATAATTATGGTGATGGTAAACGCGTTACTATAGTAAACTGATTTTAACAGGTGTGTATCTACGGTAATCATTAATACAAAAAATGACATAGGATGCTCCACGATGTATTGGATACATGCTTACAGAATACGACCACTGTGTTAGCTTACAAGTAGTGAATCAGACATATAGAATGAACAGAATATTAAATGTGTTACCATACAAAATCAGATTTATTAAACTAGTCAGGTATTTTTTATTCGTTAGAATGTTAATATAATATGGCTTGCATACCTGTGTTTATTATAAAGTTACCGTCGTTCGGACTTGCAGACATGATACAATAATAAGCATCGCCATCGTCGTCCGTTGCTTCCACAACCTTAACGACCGATCCTCCTGGACTCAATTCACCAATCTGTACAGTATCATCTAGATTTGTAATGGTAGGACTTCCTGTGTGATACACATGTCATTAAGTCATTAAGTGTATAGTATAAAACGCAGAATTGGGAGAGAATTGAATGGAAAATTGAGAGCAATATGCACACACAATAGACAGGAATAAAAAAGTGATAGATGTAATATTTAAACTAGTTTAGAAATTGAAAATGAACAGTGAATGTATAGATGCTATATACACATAAACTAAGAATGTAAGGAAGAATGGTTAGATGAAATATACACATGCATACCAGTAATTGAAATATGACACATATCCCCTCGTCCGTCAATAGTTTTCGCTCCTCGATATACACATCGAGTATGACGATTTATTGCAAATTCATAGGGACTGATGCGTGATATGCAACCTGTGATTCTGATCTCAAATTTTCTTTCGATTTAAAGAACTGCTGATTGCACATAGTTACGAAACATGGTAGCGGACATGGAAAATCATTAGCACACAATTTTTTGTTGCCCTCAAATATAAGAAAGAATATTTCGAAGGTGTGGTATAATACATTTGATTTTTTTTTTGTAGTCCATATAATCCACGCATATGTGTACTCTATACATCGCAGTAAAAAATGTCCATTGTGATAAATTATTCTTAACGTCATTGATGTCAGCAACTACTAATGGATGTCTCCACGCCCAATATACCGCTTTTCATTCTCTATTTCAGCGAACAGTCAGTATCCATGACTACGGATATATCACTGAATAACCATCGTCGTTAACGTCATGCGATGTAGTGCGCGTCTCACATTACTGCATGATATGCTGTTGGGTATTATTTGAGTACAATAGATGGCAAACTTCAAAGCAGAATCACATTCCATATTGACGTTAGTAGAACTATTTAAGTGATTATCATGGTGGTACTGACGTATTTAGTGTCGTCATTTTCGTGTAGTTATGGAAACGGGCAAACTGCTTGTGCCAGAAAAGGCATATTTTTTTTTTAATTTCGTCCTCTGTTTACAATGAGAGATATGATTCATTTTGTGGTAATCAAACAAATGGTTATAAATTTAAATATGTCAGTACACCAACAGTTGTCAATTGAACGATAAATGAAACGTGCTTTTATCAAGCAATATCTAGGCATTCTAGTGAAAATTGCTGACGTAATGTACTAGAAATAACAGTTATAATAAAATATCGTAAAACACTTTCAACAAACACTGAAATATTAAAAAAAATACAAAATACTGTTATACATCTAACACACACACACAAAATATATTTATCCGCTCGTAAAATGTCGTACGGATATGACCGAAAGTGTTACGGACGCGTTCGAATGGGCCTTTTGGAGTCCGCTCCGCTAGGATTGTTCTTATAATAACTTGTGTGTGTGTAGGTGTGTGTGTGTGTGTGTGGGGGGGTGATTTTCTGTGTCTTCACGTATTAACTCTTCTGTGATTTTTTTGCTGGATTTATTTCGTTCAAGCTTGATAGTTAGCTTGGCCTACCGTTGTCGTGGTGATATTTGAAAATCTTACAAATCTTAGATTACAAACCTCGGACTCTTCCATGATTGTTTTGGCTGGGCCGATTTCGTTTATAATAGTTCCTGGCCCATCGTTGCCATGATTACAGCCCTAAAAAAATGATTTTTTAATACCTTCGCGCTAAATCTCCCAGTCTTGTTATAGCAGCGTTCAAATGATCGTGGTTTTAATTTTGGCTGAGTTGCGCACCGACGAGACCACCAGCACCTACATGGTTACACTGCATCAACTGTACCCCCCCCAGCCAAGTTTGAACTTTGAATGAACTGTAAAACCGGTCGCACGCGCAATATTTGTAATTTAATTCGGCTTTTGTCAAATATGTCAAACTAAAAACCAGGAGCAGAATATATGATAAAATCGTAATCTGTCAAAAATGAACCAGTGGTAGATTCATACGACATTTAAATAATAAATTCAGTTATCTGTCAAACTATCCGAGTAATATAGATCCGAATAATATAAATCGTAAATAGTCACGACAACAGCAGTGAAAACTTCAAGCTGTAAAACTGGTCCAAGATTTGAACCAGACAAACGAGTTATCACGAGCTCTGTGACAGAGAAATTACTCAATTTATTTCGTGGGTCTGTTATGAGCATGAGGCAAACTACGTCTACCATTGGATACAAGTCACGTTGAAAACAATCAACAACACTCTAAACACTTCTCACGACAAGCAAATTTAGCTGTGTCAAACTGGAGCGAAAATTGACCGTAGACAAGTATTTGGAACCCGCCAGATGATAGCAACGGCAGGAACATTTCTAAGAAAAAATACGTTGAAGGTAACACAACTGTCAACAGAGTGCATGGGCTAGGGTGATAAATGTAGTGCAGTAGACGCGGTCCATGGATATTATATAAAACCAAGCATACAGGGTAACTACAATTTATTAATCGTGTCAAGTTTAATAGTTTAATATTTCACAGTGCTAACAAAATTTTGCAGGAATAAAAAGTTTGTCATCTTATCGAAATCTAGGTCAAAGGGTTAACTTGCGTGAAGATAATGTTAACATCAAAAGACGCGCCAGTAATAAAGTGAATTGAATTCTGAAGACTGAATTTTTGTTGGAAACTTCGTAAACGGGGCGCCGGTTTTAAGTATAAACCATGGCAACACCAAAAAAAGATGTTGCTGTTTTTGGAGCTGAGCGAATCAGCCTACAGGCTTGTGGAAATTGTCCGTCAAGCTTACGTCACATTCGAAAGCTTTCCTTTGTTGACTTCAGTTGCAGAAGCGCTGCCACGGCGTGATGGAATCCCGTCACTGAACATGCATTGACCGCGAATCTTCGCACAGCGCCGTGTAACGTTCATTTTGGCCATTTTGGCCAGTTATCTCTCATCGAAATATTAATACAAGCAGAGAAAAGATGTAAATAATAAAGTTGAGGTAATCACGTGGATGCCGCAAAGTATGAACACAGGCTGTATGGGAACGCTACGAGTCGATCTATACGATCACGATCCCCGTACCACCTTCGTGCATACTTTGCGGTATTTTCGTATAATCTCATTTCATAAAAGGAGGATTTACTTTAAAATACAATATTATTTTTGATACGAGTAAATACTATATAGAAATCATTCTTATATACCATATATTTATGTCAAAAAAGTACAAATAAAGTTAATTACCTGCCCTTGTCATATGCACCAAAACCATGACAGCTAACACATGTAATATTGTGTACATATTTGTAGCATAGCCGCAGCGCGTTTACCGTTTACAAATATTTATCCCGCCGTCCAAGCGGCAACCAAGTCTTGCTTCGGGCTTAACAATAAATGAAAAATATCATGACAAAGTTGTTTGTCGCATGAGGCCCCTTAGCATCCCAACTTTACAATGGGTCAAAAGTACTTGAATATTAAAATTATTGATTTGATGGCTTACCCAAAATACTTTGCGCGCAACTAAATACGAGTACTATAGCAACGTGAACGTCGCCAGACTCGCACAGGAGTTGTACTTTATGTTATGATAATGGATGTTTGCATTTATTTATTTTGTGTTTGTTTGATTAAACCTCATTGCACAATGAACAATACTAATTCAAGTATTCAGCCTATCAAACCACGGCATGTGCTCAAAATAAACCAAATTATTCACATATCCTAATTAATAAAATAAATCCTGGTGTTCTATCGACCACACTGCCAGATACGTGTTAATATATATTTCTGTTCACATGGAAATCTCAAGAATGAGTTCAGGTCAGATTTATTTTATAATATGTTGTCATGGATACCTGCCCTGTAGTGGCTCAATTAATGATTCTAATTGTTTGAGACCATGTTAGTAAAAGAGAACCAAAACAACTGCAAATCGCGTTATTCTCATTTACAAAGACAACAATACCCTCGGTGAACACAATACAACAAGTGCAACGGTCAATTACATCCATGTACTATTTCTGGCACAACTGAACGACCGTTTATACCACCATTTATTACAACATTAAATTGAATATTAAATCTCTGAACAAAGTTATTCACTTACAAGTCAGTTAGGTACAAACAAATACATTTGTTATTTTATTGTGACTAAAATTATCATTCTCTTTATTTTGACTTGAACTTGACTCATGCTCTCTAGACATGATAGAAATTCGTAGTTTTTACGATGAAAACGAAATCGTACCAAGAGCAACATATATGTGAAATTGTCATACCCACGTGTTTAGATTAGCCAGCGCGGTTGTTATGAGCGATGTTTCCTACGCCATGAAAGGAACACAATAAACAATGGTTCGACGGTGAGCATTCATTCGTGTTCACTTTCAAGTGACTTGATGGAATAATGGTGATTGTACATACGTGCGCATCCATGCGAAACTAATTGTACAACACATGGGCTTACCATTGAAGACACACCAGGTATTTGCAGTTGACAAAACAGATCAATTATGTAAGAGACACCATTAAACGCATCTTGGAAGATATGTGGCATATGAGTAGATATGCAACCGTGATTAGTTAATAATCGTATGTGCAATATGAACGAATACCAACCGTTTGTTGATGTGTTTATTGGACATGATTGTTTGACGTTGAACACTCTGCTCGTACTGGATAAAACATATAAATTTTGAAATATGTGCATTGTTTAATGACGTTGATTTCATTTTGCACAAGCAAGGCATGCATAGCGATGACCTAACAAGCATTCCCTCGGCTACAACCAGTTTTTAGCTATAATAGAAAATCGAGAACCCCTACCTATCTGAAAACGTTTGTAAAGTGCGAAAAGTGCAGCCAGCTCAGAAGGTAGAGGAGCAAATTGAACACTAAGCGATACATTCTCCGATATGTTGTCCGAAACATACGAATACAATCGACAATGTAAACTCAGCTTGTGTTGCAATAATATTATTAATTACTCGTCATTCTTAATTATTATATTTTGGTCATATTTGCTATTGAAAGAGAGCTATGTTCTAGCATGCCTGTGTAAAACTATGCCTTTGATGGACATTACGCGTGAC